TCCCGCCCAGTGGAAATTAGGATTGAATCCGCCTATATATTTTTTTTCGGGTATATTCGGTTCTGATATCCAAAAATTCATTTAATGAGAGTAGAGATGAGCTTAAGGGAGTTTGTTCAGATCAGTAGCAGCATTACTGGTCCATAAGGTTCTTTAGAAAAACGTACCAGGACAATGCTGAAAAGAACCTTTCTGTGCGAAGAATCTGCTCCCAAACGCAAAAGGCTTACTACAAAATCAGTACCTAGACACCTTCCCGAAACCAGTAACTCATTGCTCTTCTAAATGAAAAAATGCCTTGTGGGAAAATTGGAACTACTTAACTGCTTTCTAATTAAAAGCTGTTAGTGAATCCAGGACCAATTGCTGACTTGGTGACCAGTAATTTTAGTTACTGAAGTTAAATGAGTAGAAAACTTTTACAATACAGAATAAAAATTCACATTCAGAGAATCTGCAATTCCAAAAAACTGGCCAAGTACCTGACCAGAAAATTAAAAAGCTAGCTTGAGCTCTACACTCCCAAGTTGCCTCCTCTTCCCTTTCCGTATCTATTCATCACTAACAACTCGAAAACCTGATCCGTGTGCAATGACCTCAAGAACTCTGATGCAATTTTCCCAGTAACCCAATGAATGCGAACCAGCCGCAGCAGACGTATGAAATAGAAGCGAACGAAACGATACAGAAACATGCCTGTAACAAGCAGCTAATACATTAGCAACCGAAAACATGCTGCCATTCCGCAGACAGCTAAGAAGCCGAACGGGAAGCAATCTTGTGGCCGCAAATCAAAATCAACTTAAAAATTTTTCGGCTGCCAGGATTTGAAACTATTTTTTACTTCTCGCTGTCCGATAAGCGAAAACAGCGAACTGTTCTGTCTGATACTGTTATAACTAGAAGAAAGGGTAATGCGAGTAGAGGGTAGTAGTAGTGCAACAAATACCTTTATCGGATGTCCACTAATGAAAAATTGAGATCATGCTGATGACAAAGAATAATTGCACTTTTCAATCACATATTTCATAATAATAAAAAGTAGAACTTTAAGAAGCATAACAAAACAGAAATCAATATTTTTCATCGTTTATTAATTTTTGAATAATGGTTCCGTTTCTACTCATAAAACGGATATTAACTTAGAAGACGTATGTATTTATGAAAAACCGAAGGTTACAAAGTAAGTGAAATGTATTAATTAACAACTTTAAAGTGATATTATTTAAAAATCACATGACCCGCAATAAAGAAAGCTAATTAAATGTAAAAAGAATTAAACCCAACCTAAATTCGTTCACACATTATGTCCTACCAAATTTTTATACGTGTCAGACGACTCGGGATGGAAAAGATCATCCAAAACTAACGGAAGCAAGAAATGTAACCAATAAAGAAAAGTAAAGAAGTCTGGTGCAAGTATAGCGAAATATGGTCCACAAAAGATGCATTTTAAAGTGACGTTGGCTTAAGGGCGGAAGATGTCGCGGGTGCCAACTCTTGCAAACGTACTTCCAACTGCAAACGTATTTGGCATAATTTAGCCCGCTCAAGTTCCAACTCAGCATTCAATTTTTTCAGCTGCGTGCACCTCTCCTTCCAATTTACTTGCAAACCCTCTTCACCACGTGTTGATAAAGACTCCTTTTCAACCAGCTCCTTTATGCGTTTCTCTGCAAGTAGACGTTACTAAAAAGTTAGAACATGCATAATTTTAAAAGTAAAAAAGAACATTTTCGTCAATTTCTGCTTCCTCAGCTTAATAAATTAAAAACTCTTAACAGGTCGTATATCTGAGAACTCCATCGGATTATAGTTAGAAGTAACCATCAACTGCTACTGTGAAAGAAATTAATGTTTTTTCAACGTCATCGGTGGAAAGGAAACAGTAGCACTGAGCTACAGAGCTAATCAAAAACTTTTCTTCCAAACATTAAGTGGTTTAAAGAAAAAGAAAAAGTTTGTCACCTGCAACATGTACTTGTAGTGAACTAAAAAAATTCCCTTCCTTCTAATGAAGTGAAGGATCTAAAGCTTCGAGTTTCCCAAGAGTAAAGATCACTACTTCTCTTATACAAGCAACTTACCATTTTCAATTCCTTTCAAACAACTCAGAACCGTTTGAAAGAATAATTACCAAAAACTACTGACACGCATGTTCAACTAATAAAAATCTGGACAATAATATAATCAGATCCCCATTTAATTATGCAGTCCTCGCAACCAAAGCCACAAACTTTCAACTCCCGCCTCATTTGCACCAGAGCTTGAACAAAACCAATTTCAAAATCTATATAAAACTGCTTCAACCAATTAAGAAACAAGCTTATAAACCCCATAACAAAATAAACTACCTCAATCCGTACTCTAACTTATTTCGTGTTTATGGTCGAAAATATTGTAGTTTTTCTACCCACAGCTCAAACACCGATCAAGAAGACGAGTACGTGAGGGAAAGTAAAAATCCTGCTCCACAAAGTCCAGGATTTTAAGTAGAGTCACCAAATAAGCTTCAATGTTTTATTCAAAACGCTTTTTGGCATGTGCCTTCCGTCATTAAATGAGGTAAGGAGCAGGAAAAAAACTCCAGAATTTTTACAGAACTTAACTGCCTAATTAATGTTTCATGAAGAAAAAAAAAACAGTAAATTCCGAAATTGAAGCTGCTGACAGCTAACTCAAATACTGTTGTAGAGCTTTAACATAAAACCTCTCTCTAGCAGTATATGTCAAAAAAGAAACAAAATTTTAAAGCTTTGGCATGATACTCAAAAAACACTTTTGGCTGCACACAAGGTTTATTGCCTAGAATCGTCTCCTAAGCCCTTTTAAACTATCATCTCAATTAACACGCTTAATCCCGACCTGAAACCAATAGTGAATGCTAACTATAATTGTTATCCCTTAAAAAGTTCTCTGTGAATCGAAACATACGCAGAAACTCTTTACTAAAACAAGTCATTTGCTTGAGACTTTGAATTTTTCTAAGTTTTCGAAAAAGTGTAGCAGGGGAAAAATGACGAACCCATGTCCTCATTAAATTCTATCAGTTTAGGTTCTAAAACTGGATTAAAAAATTTATCGTCCTCAGGTAGGGGTTTAAACTGCTCTTCTGTTTGTATTTCAGCATCGATAAGGATTGGTCTGGGTGGCAAAGGAGGAGCTCCTACAGGAGAACGAGCAGAAATGGATGATGAGACGCCAGGTTGATTGGCGTAAATTCCTATAAAATACCATAAGACTACTAAATCTTTTATTATTTTGGTGAAAATTTATGCCATAACTCAATTAATTAAAAATGACCCTGATGTAAGTTTGGAAATGCCGCCGCTGTGGCTGGGTCGAGACACGATGTTGTAGCAGGCTGTCTGCAAAAGAAAAACCTTTTTAAACTGCCAGCGTATGGTATTAAGAAGAGTTGCATAAACGCAAGTCCCAACTTAACTGCAATTAATAGAAATAGTTCCGCAATAAGCGAAGAAATTGGAAAAAAAGTGAAAATCCTACCACAGTCTCTTTTCCGAAAATGCTCACTACTCAGTGATTTTTCAGTATAACAATAAGTGTTTAGCAGCGAAAGAAGAGCATTACAATTTTGTTTCAAGAGACCTAAACTATTAGTTTAAAACACCTTCAAAAAAATTACTCCCTACAAAAAACTTCAAATAAAAGAGTACCCAGCTGCAAAATTCGTCAAAGGATTTAAGTCCAAACTGGCACTCCTTCCATGTCCCCTATTTGGAGGTCTTGGAGGCGGCTTTGGAGGGGGACCTTTTGGCGCTTGTGGGCTTAGAGCATTCTTGAGTATGTCAGGACCGCTTTTTAGATTACGGAAAATGTTACAACCCGTATCTAACGAACACGTCAACGCTATAAAAAATGACGTGAAAATAAATTAACTAGTACGAACAACAACAATATTGCAAGATAAAAGCTAAAACAAGTGGAATAAAGTGTAACATACGCTGTGTTGGTTTCACAGCGGTTGGACGACTGTCAACTAAAAGTGGTGGTACGTCAGAAAAGTCACTCAAACGTTCTACAGCCTCCTAAGTAGCAAACAGTAAGGCATTAAAAACAAAAAAAAAGAAAAAACATGATTATCAAATTTGAAGATAATAATTCAATGAAGAAAACCCCAGTCCAGAAGGCAGTCCCAAACTCAGTATAAACAACAGCAAAGGCCTGATCTAGAAGTTAATCAAGGACAGACCACCCGGTTAAAATGTGCGTGTAGATGGTCGTCCGAAAGAGAATGTTGCTGTTGCACCGGGTGCTCAGGAAGGTCGTCATAATCAAACTGTCGCCAGCCAACAGGTGTTTTTGTAACCTGGTGTTCTTCACTATTAACAGCAATGTTCTTCTGAGCAACGCTGCTCAGCTGCTTGAAATCTAAAACTCGGAGACAACCATCACTAATTAGAAATAATTACGGTTAAAAGGTTATCAAAAAGAAATAATGCTTTCATTGCCAAACCAAGACCCTTATTAAGTTTCCTAATAAAAGTTCCCTTACATTCCAGTAAAACAAAAATTATACTAACTTTTTTTTTTTTTCAAGTGAAGGCTCGCTTTCAGTACCAAATTATGAACCAAAAATAAATCAAAATCAGCAAGACAACTTTTCAAACTCAAATAATTTAGCTACATCAATAAACTTCGCGAAAAAAATATTTTTACCATTTTGAGAATCTCGAGCAGGAGTCACTGGAGGTTTAATACATTTTGGGAGAGTATCAGGAACAGCAATATTTCCCTAAATTGTCAATGCAAACTGTACTTTCAGGTGAAAAATAAGTTAATTGCCCACCTTAAAAGAATTAATTACAAATAATTTAATCATATGCCTGCCTTGACGTTTAAAACAATAAGATGCATAGCTGTTGAGAATTCTGCATGATCAAGATAACCGTCTTCATTAACGTCGCTAAGAGCCCAAATTTTTGACAAAGTATCCGTATCTAAGTCACTTTTTTTAAAGAACTCGACAACATGTTCATCCGCACCATGAACAGCTCCATCCAAATCAAAGTGACCCTTAAAAGCACCAGTTAAATAAAAGCCAATCAAATGAAGAAAAAAAAAACACAGTAGCCGTTTTTAACTTACCAATGTCAATTTCATCAGATACTTAAAACATCTAGTATAGTATTCCCTCTGTTGCTCGCTCATTTCAAATAAAAAGTCATCCTCAAGAGTAATCAGCTGCCGCCTGCATCGCTTACTCGGTAGTTTTTCCTTCTTCCACGCACTGGTTTCACTTTTCTCCTGCAAGAGAATCAATTAGAAAAAATTTGAAAAAAATAATAGGAAAAATTGCAACAACAGTAAAATATTATCACACCTATGCAACAAATAAAATCAAACCCACTTCTCTCTTTGTTGATGCAGCAACGCCAGTGCTATCAGGCAAATCTTCTCCATCGCTTTCACCATCTCCTTCCTGTTCATCTAATAAGTTTTGGATTTCCGTGTCAGAAACACCTGAAGCAACCATTCAATTAACATTACCAGTCATCACTAAAAAAGCCCAGCTTTGCTCGCTGCTCTACAAACATGTAAGAAGAAATTTACAACAGGTCTACATAGCACTTCAGAACCTGGCTTAGTTCCGTCGTCGTCCTCCTCAGTTTCTGCTTCCTCATCATCATAATCCTCACTTGTCTCTTCATCTTCTTCATCTTCAAAATTCTGCCATTTAAATTCTTCGTGAAGACTCTAAAGAGAAGGCAATATGAACAGTAAGTGATGTCAAGATTGACGTCAGAAGTAAAATGAAAAAAATAAAATCATTGAAGTTTGATAAATTACCTTTTTTGCAGCTGGTATTCCCGTTGGCACGCCAGCACTCGAAGTAGAAGGGGAAGCAGAATCAGACTGCACCATTAAATAATTTTCCAACTTTTTTTTTCTAAACAGAATAAAGCGTTAGAGCACTGTTTTACAAACGTAATGTATTTTCCAACATCTTAAGCAAAAAGCATTGAAATTAATTGCAAATAACAGGTCAATAGTTGGAGAAAAAAGGAAAACTGCCAAAACTGACTGAGTAATACAGCGAAGCCAATATATAACAAACTACTGACTATAAAAGTTTCGTAAAGTAACTGACAACCAGTATCCTACACACAACCATATAAAAACGTTTAGGGTTTTTCAATGAATTAGATCCATCAAACAAAAAATGCGATCGATGGTTCATTTAATCAAAAGCAATAAAAATTATAGCACTCAGGAGACAAATAAAGCTACGAAAGTAATTTAACTAAGAAAGTAATCATTACCTGTCACGAACATCAAGGGTTGAAAGAAGTGAAAGAATAACGATTAAAAAAAAAAGCATTTATAGTTTAAAATGAAAAAAACAAAATGTAGTTTTAAAAAGAATTTGCTTTCCTAAACAAAAGAAAGACCATACGATGTGGATTTACCGAATAGTCTTGGAATCTCCAAATCTTTCACTGTAACCGACAGACAGATCACATTTCTGTTCTTTTAAATATTTTTGAGGCGAAGTGTCAACCATACTTATCGATGCCACGTACACTGACGGAACACTTGCAGGCAATGATGCATGACGGCGAGTCTAAAATGTTTCCTTTCCTTTACTAACGATTAAGTGATATAAGAATTATAAAAAACAAAACAGATAAGCAAAACTGATAAGCAGACTTGGAAAAAGGAATTGAAGATACCGTGAAAACGTGCTGCTCATTCACGTTACTGCTAGTTGAGTTACGCCACGTTGTTCGCGAATCTGCTGCTATTGATACAACTGGCTGACCGTGGCTAACAGCCTCAGTCATGAAATACTCACTAAAACTTCACCTTTTTTTATATCAACTGTTGCACAGAACCGTTTTTAACTTATAAAAGAAAATTCTTCCACGCCTAGCCCACTAAATTAGAACAAGCACTATGATACCATACCAATACCTCTAAATTAGTCAGTTTCTTTTAATAACTGAACTGATTAAAGTGTAAAAAACACCCTACGAGACGTCGATATCTGACAAAGTTAGAAACAATTCCATCAACTTAAACTTAACTTACAGCATAGTTATAAAACTCTTTTTTTTATACAAGCGCAACGGGTTTGTCTACATTTCTTTAAAAAGTGCTCCGGCCGACTAGAAAGTGATACGTAAAACAAAACGATACAAAATTCAGTAGTATTGCAGCTGGGAAAACACAGCAAACCTGCACTCAATATATAAAGAAAGGGTAAAAGTCATTAATAACGGGAGTTGAAATATATTATGCTACTTCACAAAATCTTATTAGAACTGACAGCGACAGAATGAATAATGCAGTCAAAATATCAAATACGACAGTGAACTATTAAAGCAAATACGAAATGCAAAAAAAAAACTTGACAGCTCTGCATACGTACAGTCCATTGGATCACTTGTCAGCTACAAATAACAGCGACTTTAAAAAAACCAAAAGAACTTTAACCAGGAAAATATTAAAATACTGTCATTCCACAAGATCCAGTGATTGCATAAAAGTGATTCTACTAGACAAACAAAAATTCCTAAAAAAAATAAACTTTATAAGTTCCAGGAAACTGAAAATAATACTCCAAAGTCTTAGACTCTAAGTCCTGACCGATACTAGAAAAATTTTTATAAGGCTGTAGAAGCCACTGAGAAAAATGAAAGCTCAAACACTAATACAATAACCTTAGAACATTTTTGCAAGGAAAAGATGACTCTGCCTCTTGACTGTTAGGCACAGATGCTTTAATCACCACTGGAATCTATTTTCTTCACCTACCTGAAGAAATTAAAACTTCTGTGGTGATAATACTTATAGTATGAAATCTATCACGTCATATCATACTATAATATATCATGTCATATATATATAAGTTGTTTGCCTAATTTCTCAACATATTTGCAAAGGTAAGAAAATTAAAAAACTTACATTTTTGTCAAAGAAGCAAACCTTAACTAATAAAACAGAAAAATGAGTCACGTGATACTTGAGCGTAAATACCTCAGGAGAATTCTCTTCTTTAAAAAAATTAACCCACACTGCAATAATCGAAAAATAATAAAGAAACTGGAACCCACTACAGCCAAACTTTACAGCCTCTTAACATTAAATAATCCAAAAAAAGCTATGTCATGAGAATACCCATTATCATATTAAACATTGTAAACCTTACCTTAATGAATGATATCCAGTGGAAAGAGCTCCATCAGAAAAATAAAATAAAGATGATAAAAAAAACAACCCAGCGAGCCAATTAATTTATCACACGAAATACACCATTATGTAAAACAGAAAAAAATAGGTAAAATGAGAAAACTTTCTTCATATCTCCCACAAGAAAAGAGATCTATTATTTCCAAAAAAAACTGAAACCATCATTACAAAAACTTTCATAGTCACAGACCTTATGACCTACGGTTAGCACCCAAACCATGTTAACTAACAATAGCTCACATCATAACTTTCTTTCTTCTTTCTTTGATCTACCAGTGATCATTGGTGCCAAAAGTCCCACCATTGGCACAAAAAAAACTGTCTGAGCATAACAAAAAAAACCGTATATTCTGGCAATTATTAGTTTGTTTTTTTAAAAAAAACCTATAGTGCAGTACCCACTGTAAAGTAAACGCAGATTAAACGCAATAGTTTTTCCTAAAACTTTTTTATGAGAATGTGATCGTCAAGGTACAGTGAAGCACTAAATCAGTCTGAACTTCGCCTTATTATTCCTCCACCGGCCGTCTGCTTAACAAACTATTCGCAATCTGACAAGTCCCCGGCCCCAATGCTCTACATGATGCTATTTCATCTAACATCAAAAAATCAAAATTTGTATCACTGTACCGAAATCGAAAAACCGATGACTACAATGGCTTCATTCTGCATTAGACGGCACTACCCAGAACACTATAACTCCGTTACACTACCCCAAAACGACTACAAGAATAATTTAAAACTATGCCACTGACGCCAACGATTTAAAAAAAAAAAAACATTTTGACTTCGCCGGTCTTGTTTACCACTCCCTTGTGTTAGTTTTTAAGTTACTCAGAGAAGACTAAGCACAAAATTTCAAAACCACCTTTTCACAACTTCGACGAGTACAGCCAAACCTGGCATTCAAAACAAATCACAGCCTCGTAGGAATATCTAGTTGTAAAAAAGCTTGCAGATTTTTTGACAGAACTCAATTCCACGTTTGCAAAACTAAAAAGTTAACCCTGAAAACCTAACTCGGAAAATAACACTCAAGTGACAAAAGTCAACAAGTTTTTACAAAAAAAAAAAA